CGCTAATTTGAAATTCGGGGCTCTCAATTCTGATCCACTGCGTCGGTGACGGTTGGGAGCCCCTGCTCGAGCTTGAATAAACGGCCCTCGTGTGCTTACATCGGAATCGGCTTCCTGGTGGTCTTTGGGACTTCGCGATCTGGGCATAACAATAACAAAACACCAAAACCCCACAATACAACAGCACTACCCCCCAACAAGCCTAGTGTAACAGGTTTGCCATGAACACAAGAAGAAAGACGCCCAGCCACATGCCGCGCACTCTGCATGTCACAGGGACGGCGCAGTGTGGCCGCCGTACCCACCATGAAGTCAGCGAGGCTGAGTGCTGACCATGGGAGTAAATAAACGTGACGCCCACAGTACCCGCCTGGTAGTAAGATGTTAGGACGAAATAAAAAGCAAAAGACTGAACGAGTTGCTTTGAAACAGAACCACTCCATGGACCAGAACCCTGGGCCAGACAGGCCAAGTGTGGTAGCAGAGAGGGGCTTCCAGGTGGGCTGGGCACAGAGCCAGGGGTCTCCCCGAGTGTGGAGGGCAGGCGGGGCAAGCCAGCACCATGGACCCTGAGCTGCCCCACCCTGCGAGGTGGGGTCCCCAGGCTGGTCCTGGGTCTCGGGGAGCCCCGCTGGAGGAGGCCCCGGGACCTGTCCATGCCCCGCCCACCGCAAAGTGCCCTGACACACTACTTCCTGCACAGTGGTCCCTGCAGCTGCAGCTGGGTGCCCCCCCTCCCCTTGGGCGGCAGTGGTCTGCAGTCAAGGCAGAGCCCCAGAGCGTGGCACAGGGGTGTTTCAAAGTCCCCGCCACCTGCCCTGAGTGAAACATCTCTCCTCCGGGCTGGGGGGCTCAGTGTGAGCATGTGCCTAGCACGCCAGGTCACCCCGGCCACACAGTGGGGCTGTCTGTCAGTGCAATTCGTGGTCACGACAGTGACGTCCAAGTTCAGTAGTTCCACGCACCCTGTGACAGCAGTCGGGTCCCTTCGAGGCTGCTGCGCTGCAGACAGCATTAGGTGAGAAAACACCACCTCCTCGCCTCTGCCCCGTTTCTTTAAGCGATAATCATCTCAGTGGTGTCAACACGACCCCGAAGGAATTTAAAATAAGAGAAAACTGGAAAGAAGGGGGAGGGAGCAGCCTGAGGTGACAGGGAGCCCTGTCCCCAGGGAGCCACGGGCAGGCGTTCACCTGCCAGGACTGAATTCGTACCGGAGTTGCAGTCCCCCCGGTGCCGCCCCCCACCCGCGCAGGGACAAGGGGGCTGGGCGCCTGGCAGTGCCGGCACAGCTGTGGGAGGGCAGGGCCGGAAGCTGCTTTTCAGGGGCGTGTGACCTGGCAAGGCGCTGTGCGCTCTGCTCGCTCGCTCGCGGGCAGTAGCGGCTCGGCTCCCGGGCATCGGGCTAGGTCTCCTGAGGGACCACATGCAGGAGCTTCTGGCACAGGACGGTGGTGGAATCTGCGGGAGAAGGGCAGGAGTGAGCGAGCGTGGGCCGGGGGTGCAAGCTGAGCCACGGTGTCCTCAGGAAGCCAGGGCCCTGCAGCCCGGCCACACCATCCAGAGTAGCACAGGAGGTCGGAGACCTCAGCTTTACAGAAACCCGCAGGGCTTACCGGGACGCCAGGCCCTGCCCCAGGGTCTGCCCACAGCTCCTGGCCAGAGGCAGAGAGAGCTCACTGCCCCATGCTGGCTGATGGGGCAGGACCCACACCCACCCCTGGGGCCTCAGGTTCCAGGTGACGCCCCCTCCCGCAGCTCCACACCCAGCACCAGCCTCGCTCGAGGCAGCCGGTGTCCAGCAATGACCCCCAGTCCCGGTCACACCTGATGCTCCCATGAAGCAACCTGGTTGGGGAGGGGTCTGGTGCAGGAGGAGCAGCGCCCTGGGCTCGGGCTGAGGTCTGAGCGAGCCAGGCTGGGCACACACCCTGCTCCAAGGCCGGGCAGCCTCCGGTCCTACTGCAGGGCACAGGACTGAGCACAGGCCGCCCTCGCCCACACAGGGGCCGTCCTAGTCCTTTACTGTCCCTGGCGCCATCTCGGAGGGGCAGGCCTGGGACCAGGACCAGCAGCCCGGCCTCTCCTCTGCCCCCGGATCAGCGGCTGTGCACTGAGCTGAATGTCGCACCCCACAGTGCGGGGCCACCCTTGCCGTCAATGCACTAAAACCCAACCAGGAAGCCACCCAGGGTGCCAGGCGCAGTGCCGACACTCACAGATCGCCTGCAGGAGCCACTTGGGCTTATTCTTCCACCAGACCCCAAGGAAGTAGACGGGCAGCCCGCTGAGGATGATGGTGAAGCCAATGGCGCACTCCACGGGCGTCTTCCAGAAGGACACGGCGATGAGGAACAGGCAGGCCAGGGTGAAGAACACCGGCAGCGCCAGGCTCACTGTGCAGGAAGGCGAGGTGTGGGCCCCACGGGAGCCCCATCCCCTGGCCCCTCGGCGCCCCGCTGCCTGTCCCCCAGGGCCCCCAGGACAGCGGCTGTGACCAGCAGAAGGCGAGACCACGCCCTGCATGGCTCCCCCAGCCTCAGCACGGGGCTGACGGAGCGGATGGGCTGGGGGCTGGGGGACTACGCTGCCCTGCCTGGCCTGAGGCCACCTGGGAGAAAACAGGGGTCCGGGGCCCAGGTTCCCAGGGGAAGCACCCACGGGTGCCCTCACTGTGGGCAGCATGGTGGTGTAGCAGGGCCTCCTGCTGGTGTCTGCTCCCAGCCCTTGGTCCCCATGAAGGTGGGGCACTGCCAGTGTGCCGGGTGCTCTCTCTCAGGTGCTCCCTGGGACCTCAACTGACAGCCACCTGAAAGCTCGTGATACCCAGCCCTGGCCCATGCTCAGAAGGCAGGGAGTGGGGCCCGGGACATCAGGTCACCTGCTCACACCCCTGGACCAGGCTCTCCTGTTACACTGGTGGAGGGCAGGGAGGTGGCCTTGTGCCGAAGGGTGACAGGAGCTGCCAGCCGCCGGCCAGCCACCCCCGGCACGCCTGTGCTTACACATGGGCAGCTGGACTAACGGATCCCGCAGTCTAACGTGCTTTCAAGCGCCAGCTCCCCGTCCTCGCCAGAGGAAGGCTGCACGACCCAGGTTTGAGAGGCCATCTGGCCCCAGGATCCCAGTATGCTCCGCGCTGCCTGCTGCTGCAGGGGACCCAGGCCAGCCGCACCTTGATGGGCCACTCCAGCTCTGGCTTCTTGAAGCGGAGCCAGATCATGCCGATGATGGCCAGTGCCACACACAGCCAGTTGAAGAAGCTGAAGAAGCTGATGATGGAGAAGATGTCACTGGAGGAGGCATAGAGCAGGGTCATGATGCACTGGAAGCAGAGACGGGCGGGTGAGCCCTGGTAGGGGGCGGTGGGCACCCAGACACCAGAAATGGTCTCGAAAAGGAAACCGAGGGGCAGCATGTGAGGTCTGGGAGGGCGGAAGAGGGAGGCGGGGGCAAGGAGCCTGGGGGGGGGGGGGGGGGGCGGCAGTGGGGGCGGCGGTGCTCCAGGAGTGGGCCGGTGGGCTGCACTGGGGTCTCAGCATGGAGTGAGAAGGCAGCACCCTCAGCCATCGCCAGCACAGCCTCCTGAGCCCCAGGCCAGCTGAAGCTGGGCCCAGCTGGGCCCCCAACCAGACGCCCGAACTGTCCACAGCTGTGCAGTCGGCGTGGGCACAGACTTAGGCTCCAGCATCTGGCGTCCCAGCTGCACAATGCGTGACGGCTCCTGTGGTGCTGGAGCCATGGTCGGCCCCCAGGCAGCGCGCTGTGGGTGTGTGTAAGCGTGCAAGAGCTACGTGTGTGCACGGGGCCTCGGGAGGCTCACCATGAACACGAGGGACGGCATGGGCGTCAGGAGGTCTGGGTGGATCGTGGAGAGCACTGAGGGCAGGTGGCCCTCCCGGGACCCCACGAAGAACAGCCTGTGGACACAGCAGCGGCGGTCAGCCCTACCTGCCATGTCACGGGGCTGAGACCACACCTGCCGGGCAGCAGGGAGCCCAGGGGCCCCTCAGCGCCACCCCACCCTCAGGGCCTGCAGAGGCATGGGTCCTGCTTCCTGTGCTACCAACTGAGCCTGGTGACAGCTGACAGCTCTCAAAGCACAGGCAGCAAGGCGGAGCAGAGGCTGTGGGACCGGGGGACCCAGGGAGCTCACCTCGAGGCCGGGAACAGGGACCTGTTGACCAAGCTGAAGCAGGACAAGCCCACGAAGACTGGGATGATCCAGGACATGACTCCCAGGTGGTAGCTGCCGAAGTCCTGGGGACAGAGCCATGTGAGCCTCGCCCAGGCAGCAGCAGCTCCACGGCCCATCCAGCAGCTCCGCCTGTGACCTGGCTTGGGGCACTTGGGGGCCCTGCAGTGGGCTCCTCAGTCACCCTCACTGCACTTGGTGTCCTCCAGCCACGGAGAGCGGAGGGAGGGTTGTCGGGGTCGGCTCTCTGCCCTCCCTGTCCCGGTCTTGGCAGGCGGCGGATACCAAGTCCACTTGCTAAAGGCGGCTCGACGGCTAGCCCGGAGTGGGGGCGGCGGCAGAGGCCTGGCCACGTTGCCCCAGGACTCAGCCGCAGTTGCCTCACCGCTGCCAAACACGAAGCCGCCCCCCTGAGCCCTGGAGGTCCAAGGGGGACCCCGGCCCCTGGACACAGCCAGGACACTGGGGTGTGCTGACTCATCACCCATCCAGGTGCTGCCCAAGCAGGACTTCAGCAGCAGCCAGGGCGCCCTTCAGGAGACTGAGGACAAGGAGCCAGCCCTCGGGACAGGAGCGAGGCCTGGACCCTGGGGCCTTACCATGGCCACGGCCTCGGACGACAGCATCTGCTCTGTGGACAGGGTGGTGAAGCAGGCCAGCTTCGTCAGCACGTCACCAGGGTGACGATGGGCCGTGAGATGGCGATGGCCAGCGGCAGGTTTCTGGGCACCATGGGGAGGGATGCGGGTCACAGTGCAGCCAGGACCCAGGTGCAGCCCCCCGCCCACCGCGCCCCGTATCTGAGCCCTCATTCTTGGGCACACGAGGTGCTCACACCTGGAGTGGGCAGCTGGCTGAGCCAGGGTGGCCCCTCAGCAATGCTGGCTGCATGGCGCCTGACAACTGAGAGTCCTGTGTGGTGACCCACCCGGTCTGAAGGTCCCCACCCGCCCCATCTCAGAGCTGCCTCAGGTTCTGGGAGCCACAGCCGGGCCCTCCAGGCCTCCCACCATGTGTGGGGCCCCCAGGACCACCACACATGTGCACGCTGTCCCACCCCTAGGATCTTGTCCAGGCCCCCAGACTGCACGCCGAGCCCAGCAGCATCACGTGGAAGGGAGGGCAGCATCGCGCTACACATACCTGTAGGGATTGATCATCCTCTCTATGACGAAATTCAGGTAATTCCTAGAACGCAGGCCAGGGCTTTGTTAGACATTACTCCCTGGGCCATTAGGGAAGGGGCTGGTGCCCCACTATGCCCACCAGGCTGCTCTGTCCCTGGGATGGACGTGGAGCCACAGCTGCCTCGCCCTGCCCCATGCACAACCCCATTGAGCACTGAAGGTTGGAGCTGGCTTCTAAATCCCGGGGGTCAGGGACCACCAGGGAGTGGTGCAGAGGGCGGCTGCAGGGACGGTACAGCTCTCGAGTCTGTGTCTGCTCTGGCATCCTGATGCCCGCTTCTACATCTTCCCGCCTGCCCACCCTGTGGCACTTCTGTCCCGTGCAGCCATCCTGAGGGCTGCCAGCCGGCAGGACCCGGTCCCCAGGCTGACCTGCAGGCTGTGCACCAAGCGGCCGGGCCCCTCTCTGCTTCCTCTGAGGCCTCTTGGCTCTATCCCACCCTTCTGCAGCATGGTCCGGAGATTTGGGATTTCTGGACGTGTCAGGGCCCCAGGCATTCCGGGACTTACCATCCTCCATAGGCAAAGAGGCCACTGTACAAGGCCAGCATGATGTTCCCCACATCCAGGTGGGTGCCTTCGAAGGAGAACTTGGGGTCTAGGTTGGACACATCACCTGGCACAGGACAGAGAGGCATGCTGGTTAGGGCATGCTGGAAGTTCAAGAATGTCCCTGCAGCAAAATGCCTAACAAAACTCCAGGTGAAGGCTTTGCACTAGGACAAACTGGACGCGCCTGCTGAGCCACCTGACCACCCTCATCCCCGACTGCCTGGCCCGGGTCACCGGTAGCAGGCAGGCCGGGCTGGGACAGGCCAGGGCTCCCTCCTCCCTGCTCTCCGTACACCTGTAGCACTCTGCTGGGGAGCAGCTGCTCTCCAAGGGGGGACACTGAGGCAAGGCCGCCCGTGCCTGGGCCTGAGGTTCTGACAGCCTATACAAGAACAAAGGCTCTGTGCCAGGGCACTCGGAGACAGGAGGGCGACCGCATGCCCCGCTCACAGTGCCCAGGACATCACAGGATGCCTTGCCCCACAGGCCCGACCCCAGCCTTGTGATGAGGAACCTCTGATGGACACGGGGAGGCCAGCTGCTCTCCCGAAGGACAAAACACCACACTGAGGACTCCAGATGCTCTGATGGGCCCAGGTTCACGGCTCTGCCGGTGTAGTGGAGGCTGGCCAGGAGGCCAGACCTACCAACGTGCTGGCGCCCAGGGCGTGGCTCCCTCCATGCCAAGCGGCCGGAGTCCCTTGGAGGAAAGTGACGTCCGGGAGCAGAGGGGCAGCTCAGACCACACAGCCTCTCAGGGGCGGTGGGGTCAGGATGGAGTATAGAGGGCTCTGCCGAGGGTCTCAGGGCCTGTGACTGCCTCACCTCTGCCCAGGGGAGGAGGTGCAGGCCTGGGGCACGGGCAGGCATCTGAGGACCTCATGGCACCAGCCCCACTGTTCAGAGCCCTGGGTGGCAGTCTCATGCTGGATGCCGGCCCAGGATGGGAGGCCACTGTGTCCCTGGGGCCAAACCAAACGCTGGCGGTCCCTTCTCTCCACAGGCGCCATGGAGCGGGCACCAGGCTGCTGGTCTGGACCCCGAAGAACTGTCCCTGGCCAGGGCTGGCACAGCCTAACGTGGCACAGGGGTGCATCTCAGCAGCTGGGGCTCCACCTGCCCGACCATCCGCTCTGACCCCAGCTCTGCTTGGGCGGCTGAGGGCTGCCAGGCCCCACCCCAGTCCCCAGCATGCTGTCTGCAGCCAACTCGCCCTTCAAATTCGCTCCCAGCAGCAGCTGCTCCATGTCTGGCTCTATACCAGCCTGGGGAGGAAGAAAGGGAGCCGAGAGTGCCTTCCAGGAGGAAGGGCTGGGGTTTACGCTTCAGAGCAGCCATTCCAACCATCCCACCTGCAACAGGACAGGCTTTGGCAAGGCCTGGAGACGCCTGGGTTTCAGGTGAGTGCTGGTGGGGGTGCAACATCTAGTGGTCCATGCCAGAGGTGCTGCTCTGGCCCTGTGACACCCTGCAGCCCCCCACCAAGTCCAGGGAGGCGGCAGTGCCAGACTGACCCCAGGCCTCTCCTCCCGTGGGTCCGCCCAGGGCTGAGATTCTGCTTCCACAGCGCTCCAGAAACTGAGCAGTTCATTCATCCCGCAGCCACTCAGTGACAGGGCGCATATAGCTCCATATCCCCAGGCGGAGCACTTCTCCCCAGGCCCGGTGACCCGGAAGGCAGGCAGGAAAGTCACCAGACAGTGGAAGGAAGCTGGCAGCACAGGTCTGCTGGGGACAGGAGGACCCAGGCTCTGCACAAGCAGCTCCCACCAAGTGGGGTTCCTGGGGCACAGAGCCCTCCTTGGCAGGAAGTGTCCTCTCTTGCTCTGGCCAAGGGCCCAGCAATGCCAGGCTGTGCAGCCCTGGTGAGGCCCCCTAAGCCCTTCACCCCAGGTCTCCTCCTTGTCCACAGAATGCACTTGTCTTAAGGGTGCCGTGTGAGGAGACACCGAGAGCCCAGCGAACCCCAAGTGCCACACGAGCAGCCCCCACCAGGGAAAGCGGGGCCCCAAGCCAAGGGCTGGCTCCCACCCTCAGGCTCCTGGCTGACAGCTGGGAGGGTGCCTGCAGTGGCCCAGGGCCTGGGAGTGGGACCAAGAACCCGCTTCTTCCCTGGGCCCTGGCCAGCCTTAAGGGCCCTGGCTCAGGCCACAGAGGCCCCCCACGGCTGCCCCGTCCCGCAGACCAGTCTGTGTCTCAGGATGGGGAAAAGGCAAACCAGTGATCTGGAGAAGGGGCCGGCATGGAGCTGATTGGGGGCCAGGAGCCCAGGCCGCCCCACGGTGCAGCTCCGTGGGGGGGGGGGGACTCAGGACACCAGTGGCAGGAAAGCCACTTGTCAGCACGGGGACAGCCGCCGAGGGCTCCTACTTTCCAGCCCACACCAGCCTTTGCGGTTCCACGAGCTGGTCAGCCAAGACACGCGTGTGTGGGAGGGACAATGACCTCTGGTCCTGTCCCTCTGGGACTGCAAGTTTGTCCTTATTTGGAAAGATGGTCTTTGCTCACCGCCCTGAGCCGCCAGGTGTGGTGGGAAGAGGCAGGAAGGGTCCCAGGATTTGAACTGTTTTTCTTTTCTTCTCTGTGGTCCCCTGGAGACTCGGGAAGGACACGAGGATGCCAACACCTCAACCCCTGGACTTCTGGCCTCAGGCACAGAGGGTAAGCGCCCGCCAGGGCCCAGGAGGGCACAGGCACAAAGTGCCCTCGCTGTGCCCAGGTCTGCCGTCCAGGTGTCTTCTGGGCACGGCTGTGGCCATGTCCTGGCAGTAAGAAGGGCTGACCCTCGGTGGGCGGTGGGCAGTGGCTCCAGGCTCTGCGGCCCTGCCGACCCCGGAGGCAGTGCCAGCGCAGGACCGCGGCATGGCGCCCTCTCCATGTCCCACCCGGCTCTGGCACCTGTTTTACTGGGCTAGGCCGGATGTGTGGGAAGGGGTGGGGCAGGAACCCGGTTTGGGGAGTGAGATCAAAACAGGTGGTCCTAGCTGGGCGTGGTCACACACCTGTAATCCCAGCACTTGAGAGGCTGAGGCAGGAGGATTGCCAGGAGTTCGAGGCCAGCCTGGGCTGCTTGGTGAGACTCTGTTTCAAACAAAAAGCAAAAAACAAACAGGCAGTCCTCTCCTTTGACGTCTCGGGGGCAGTCCTTCGGCTCTGAGACTAGCTGTGGACCTCAGATCCACGCTAGAAAGGCCTCCCCACCCAGCCGTGGGGGAGAAGCCCAGCTTCCTGTCCTCTGACCTTATCTACAAGCAAAGCATGTGTTTCCAGACCTGTTATTCTTTACATGCTGAGGCACCACAGGGCCTCGGCAGGCCCAGGAAAAGGACTCAGTTACACTGCCGAAGAATACCCAACAGAGCCGGCATGGCCGCACACTCCAGGAATCTCAGCACTCCGGTAGGCTGAGGCAGGAGAAAGTTCAAGTCCCACCCCGGCACCTCAGCAAGACCTTGTTTCAGAATTTTTAAAAGGGCTGGGGATGTAGCTCAGTGTGAAGCCTCTGGGTTCAAAAAAAGAACACTCGAGGGAAAAGCGAGCCCCACCCGCACCCCTTCAGGACTCGGCAATGTCCCCGAGGTGAGGTCACACGTGGCTGCAGCCCCGGGCGCTCACCAGGGCTCCCTGTCCAGGGCCCGTCGCCCAGCGTGGAGGGCTGCGCGGAGTCTGGCAGGAACCTGGGCGTGCAGAGGCCCCAGCGTCCCGCCTGTTCTCTTGTGACCCGAGCCGCTGTGCTCCCGCCCACCACAGCCCTGTGCGCTGGGCCTCCCACGAAGGGGAGCCTGGGCCCTGTCCAAGTTCGCCTTGGCAGCCGGAGGCGGGTTGTGGTTGGCTTTCTCACTCGGGTAAGCTGCCCGGGCTCATGTGGGATCCTGAGCTCCCTGCAGGCTGAGCGGCGCCTCGAGCTTGGATCCTCCTGCGGGCGGAATGAGGCCCCCACTCAGGTGCGGAGCCCTGACCCCTGCGCCTCGGCACCTGGACTCAGGGCCTCTCGGGATAATTAAGGACACATGGAGCCCTGACCCAACACACAGGACTCGCTAGAGTCCTCACTGGGGGGCCCTGTGGGGACAGACCCGGGACACGGCCTCCAGAGGAGACCAGCGGTGGCCCCACCGAGTCTGTCCTCGCTCGGCTGAGCAGACAGGGACGTCCCTCGCTGGAGGTCCCACTGCACTTCCTGGGCCGGGTGCCAATCTGATCCTCACAGGCTTCCAGTCCCCTTCGGGCCCCGGTGCTCACCTCCAGGTCTCCGGAGGCAGACAGCCCTGCTCTCTGTCCTCGTGGAGCCGGCAGGAGTCAGAGTGAGGAGCAGAGCAAGGGCTCGGGCTTCCGCGTGCCTCCCAGGCCCTGCTGGGGCAGCCACAATGTGGCGACCAGCCTCCTCTAACACCTCCAACACCTGCCACAAACCCCAGAGCAGACGGGCCGAAGCCCTGCAGTGAAGCCTAAGGAATGCTCCAGGACAGGCTCCAACCCGCATGTCTTGCCCGGTCCGGCGACCTCCTCTGTACCAGCTGCAGCCCAGGGCCAGGACCTCACACTTCTCCCAGCCCAGGGCACCTGGCCAGTGTAAGGGCCGAGAGGACACGGCCCTTCCACAAGCCACCAAGTGCCCGACAGACCCAGGCTCCTGCAGGCCCTGCTGCCACTGCCAGGAGCCTGGGTTCAGCGGCACCTGTCCCAGAGGAGCCAGCTCACGGGCCGCAGACCACACTGGGTATCGGGCAGGGTGTCTGGAGGGGTCTGAGCCCGTTTCTCCTCCAGGACGCCCTGGCGGTGAGGGGCAGAGGGGCAGAGACACAGGGAGAGGCCAATTGTTGCCCCAGAGGGGCACTGAGCCAGGACACGGTGTGGGTGGAGAAGGGACAGTCTCACTGGGACCTGCTGGTCTGCAAGGCGCCCAGTCTGACTGCCAGAGGAGACCAGTTTGTTCTGAACCAGACACTACAACTCAGCAGAACCAGAAAGGGTCCCATTGTGTGTCACCCAGGGTGGGGGATCTGGGCCCTCGCCAGGTGGAGGTATCAGGCCATCAGCACCCCACTCCCACCTTGGCCTCGGAAACAAAGTCCCAGCTACCACTCGTGTTTGGGAACAGCCTGACTTTGGGCCACAGCCCCCCGCCTGCCGGCCTGCCTAACTCCCTGACTCCCGAGACTTCCCTCTGTGTCGCCTGTCCAAGCCACTGTCACCCCCACCACCCTGAGTCCCGTGATGGCCAGGGTGGGCACGGTCCCCTCAGACCTCACGTGGCCCCAGCCCACAAGCCCTGGGCAGCACTCCGCCTGCCCGGCCAGAGCAGCTGGAGCTGCTCCCACTCCTCAGAGCACTGTGCCCTGCACCCCGATGCCTCCTCCTGTGCTGGACTTTGGGGAGGAGCCCTGCCCAAGGACCTCCCTGGCCCCATCTGTGCCTCCTGCTTACAGCATTCGATGTGTGAAGTCCCGTCAGGGTAACCCGAGCCACGGACAGCAGGGCCTTGCCCTCGGCTGGGCGAGGGGACGTCAGAGGTTCTGGGGAAGGCGGGCAACTGCGTGCTGATTCCTGAGCAGCCAGCCAGAAACAGGCAGCACTGGGAGGCGGCCAGCTGGACCCCACCGCAGCAGGGCCACTGGGGCTGGGCAGGTGAGGCAGGAGCTGTCCCCAAACTGGACAGAGGGGCACCTAGGGCAAAGAGCAGGACCATGATGGATGCAGAGACAGTGGCTCCTCCGTGCACTCTGGGGCTGGGTCTCTGCCTCAAAGCACCCTGGGCACAGCCGCCTCTGTTGGCCCTGGGGTCCCAGTGCCCCACGGGCAATAAAGCAGGGCAACTGCTTGGGGAGAAGGGGCCCCACCTCGACAGGCCCCAGAGTGAAGGCGCCTGTCTGGAATAGTCAATCCCCTGGGAACAAATGGGACAGGAATTCTGCAGATGAGGCATGGCATCCGCGAGCTCAGAAAGGAACCGCTGGGGCGTGGGGGTGTTTTCCACGGCAACTGGCATGAGACAAACGCTGTGTTCAGGCCGAACAAAAGCTCTTTGCTAGCCCGACGAGTTTGTTTTTATCAAAACCAGGTTCCCTCCTGAATTCCTCGTCAGTCCATCTAATCATGGCCACCAGGCCAACCCCTCCCCACGCCATGCACAGTGGCACCTGCCCGCCTGCTTGAGAACCGTGGGTGTGGACGGGCTCATCCCTCTGCCCACGGCAGCCCTGACCACTGGGCTCCCTTCCCGGCTGCCCGCCACCTCTTCTGCTCGTGGGGCGCAGGTTCCTTCTATAAATTTCCCCTTCAGAAAGGGGCCGGGCACCAAGTCCAGGAGGCCCCCAGCCCTCAGAGGGCACAGGTGGCAGAGCTGGGGCCTGAGCCAGCCTGCGATGGCTCCGGTGGGGAGGTCAGGTGCCCGGGTGAGCAGTGGCTCTCGGGATGAGGCTCTGGGCTCACCTGGGCCACTGTGCAGTCACCTGGGAACTGGGGGGCAGGCGGTCCTTCAATGATGACAACAAAGCCAGGGGCCTGCACCGCCACCTTCCCCGAGAGCTGCACGAGCCTTCCCCTCAGGCCGGGGCTCCCCGCGAGTGCCCCAGAGGAAGGATGGCCAAGGGAGAGGCTGGCCATGGACATGGGAGCAGTGGGAGGCCATACTCGGCCGTTCCTCAGGGCGCGCGTACAGCGGGGGTGGGCTGCACAGAGCCTGGGCCTCGAGGGGCCTTGCAGGGGCTCGGACTTGACCAGCAGGAGGGCAGGAAGGGACGCCAGGCCCCGAGCCCCAGCTCTCCCACCCACAGTGGTGCAGCTCCCCTTTCTCATGCACACCATGTGGCTGACCACAGGGCACGGCCGCCCCAGGAACGTGACAGGCTGTGCCAGGGTCCTCTGCCCACCTCCTTGCTGCATCCTGGTAACAAGCCAACTGGACGCCAGGGGCACTGGCTGAGTGTGGAGCCCACAACCCACCACGCTCCTGGCCGCTTCCCCTGTGAGCACACTCGGCGCCTAGGCTGTGTTCCTGGGCTGTGGCTACCTGGAGAGGGGGCAGACTGCCTAGCAACTGTGCACACCCTCACACTGGAATACTACATGGCAGAGGAAAAGGAGGAGCTTCACACATGGCGGGGGTGTGGGTGAGAATGTCCTCAGACTCCCTGCAGTGCCCACCCACACTGCTCCACGCTGACCGAGAGCATGGGTGCTGCACAGGCCACATGGGACTCACTCTGCCACCAGCTGTCCTAGCAGCCCCAGGGCAAGGCAGCCAGGGGAGGACCCGCAGAGACCCGCACGATTTGCTGGTCACACAGCACATGACCACGCCGGGTCTGTCCAGCCTGCTGGCCCTGCGTGTTGATGGCAGGTGTCTCGGCAGCAGGGCTTACAGGTTTTCACCCCTACCTGATCTTTCACTTCCATGTACAGAAACGAGAGCAGGGTTTCTCCCTCTGCACAGGAGCATGCCTCCGGGCCTGGTGCCTGTGCCCAAGGACAGATGGCGTCCTGGGGGGACTGTCCCTCCTGAGGGGCTCCTGGGGCTGCCACTGGGCCTAAAGCCAAGCAGCCCCCAGGATCTTTGAGAATCACCTGGAGCTGCCACAGCGCCAAGAACCCCAAGGACGTTCCAGGTGCGCGGTGGAGATGCACGGCCAGGGCCAGGGTTCAGCACACGATGCTCGATGCTCGGCACCCTCCGCCGGGCCAGGGTGGACTCCTCCCCCACAGTTAGCACTCAGGAATATAGCTGTATAAACACATGAAAACCAACAGCTTCTGCCCAGTCAGGACCATGCGTGCCTGGCTCTGCCCAAGTTCCTCCGGGACTGGCTGGGCCCCTTCCAAACTTCCTCAGGGGCAAATGCAATGCCCCAGCACAGCGCTTGGGGACTGGAACCCACGCCCGCCCCATGAGGCGGACACAGAGCAGGCAGCACATGCCAGGCCGGCGCCACACTTACCCTTTGCAATATGGATGAAGCCGAGCAGGATGATCAGGGCCAGCGCCAGGAGCTTGGCAGCTGCAAAGGCGTCCTGCACGCGGGTGGCGGCCTTCACGCTGTAGCAGTTCACGGCGGTGAGCAGCACTGTGGGGAGAGAGGCAGTGAGTCCCACCAGGCAGGCGCTCACAGTGCTTTAGGGGCAGGCAAGGCTGGGACGCCCGGGGCGGGGCTGGGATCCAAGGAACCGGGCTGTGTCCACACCGGCCCCTCCCTCCGTGTCCCTGTCCGGGGCTCCTCGGATGAACTTGCTGGTTTTCTACGGCCAAGGTCAAACGTTGAAAACACCAAACTCCAAAGTGCCGGGGTCCCAGGTGTCCCTGGGCTGCCCTCATGGATTCCCTTTAAAGGAGTGGGTCTCAGCCTCCCCAGGGCCCTGCCACCGTGGACTCCGGGGAAACTCGAAAGCTGGCCACTGGGAGGATAGCTGCCCCCACACCCTGGAGACCCAGCAGCACCTGTGGATGCAGTGGCCTGGGTGGTGTCGGATGAAACACAGGGATCCTGTCAGGGACATATGCTGGGCCCAGAGGACAACGGGCCCCGTGGAGCCAGCCTGTGACCACAGCAAGGGAGGTGACCCGCGGACCCGGCCCCTCACCCCAGGAGCCCTCCTTGTAGCCTTGGCCCTGGGCAGATGGAGGCAGACACGCTCCAGTTCTGCTGCAGTCTGAACAGCAGATAACGGGAACTGAGAATTCGCCCAGGCCAGTCCCGGCACCAGAGCAGCTACACCTGCCAGTCTGAATCCAGGCTGGGAGGGGACATGGTGTCTGGAGGAGACGAGGGGTCAGGTCCACAGGCAGGCATCTGAGACAGTGACCAGCACCCTAGACACTGGCCAGTCCTGCCTGGGCTCTGTGGACACCAGCAAACACTGCTGTTCCCAGTGGAAGGCGGAACTGAAGTATATTTAAAAAGGCGACGGGTACTCACCGCCCACCCTTCCTACTCGTACCACCCCTGCTCCTCACGCTCCTAAGGTCCATGTGGCCTCGGGCCCTGCCCTGGGGATTCTCCGTGACGTGAGCCACACCACACCTGGCCCCATGCAGCAAGCCCATGCACGGCACAGCACGGATGTCACAGGCGGGGCCCTCCCGCCGGCCACCGCCTGTTGGGAGCAAGGCTACATAACTTTAGGGAAAAATCATTTGGTTAGCCTAGTTCTCCGGCCTACAACCCAGCTATGGAATTCCGAGACATAATCGCATTTTGGCCTCCGGGCACAACTGAGACCTCAATGATCCAGTGATGCTGTGATTCTCCAGGACAAGAAACATCCTGGGAGCTGAAAACATCCTGGGAGGAACAAACTACCCAGTCCCTCCTTGATCTTGGATTGTTACATCCTATTTACGCAGGATGTACTGAACTCTCTGCAAGTCATTTGTTACATTTGTTTCTCCCGATGAACTGAGTACTGAATAAAAGGTGCGGTAAACTGGGAGCTTTTGTCTTTGCCGCCCAGAGCAGCACTGATCAGATCCAAAGCTCAGCTTCTTCTCAGTCTCATTTTTCTACCTTTCCTGTCATTCGCCTTGTGCTGCCGTGGCTCTCAGGAGACCAGGACTCACTGCAGAGGCTCTAGTAAGGTCCCCTTTCCCTGTTTCCTACAACTGCCATCAAACACTAACCAGCGCCCCCAATCGGGCTGCAGGAGCCCAGAGATCTCCGTCCCATCCTCCGCCCCGCCTCGGGGAACTCTGAAAGGCCAGGTCGGCTGGGGCCAGCACAGAAGGTGGCTTTCCTCCAGCTGGGCTAATTATACGAAATTTCAGGACCAGGTCTCAAAACACAGGAATCTACACTAATTAGATGAGGCAGGAAAACAGGAAGGCTCCCTGGATCCTGGATCTCTGATCCTGCCCACCGCCGCTGGCGACTGCTCTCGGGAAAGGACGCGGCCGAGAGGTCTCCGAAGCTGCGAAGCTGCGGCTGACGCAACGCCGCACCCGCTGCTGCACACTGGGAACCCTGCTCAGAGGTACTGGGCGGTGGTTACTGTAACTGCAACGGCTAGGATGACACACTCAGGACTCCCCCGCATGCCTGCTCCCAAAGTGAAGCGCTGGAAGCCCCTTTTCCTGGTGCTGCGGACCTGGCTCTCTGCCCACCACCACCCGGTCGCTAAGCTCTGAGCCTGGTGTGCGCGGTGGGGCCTCCTTGTCCAGGAGTCACACTTCCTAAGGGACCAGTGTGGCCCCGGGCATCACCTCCGGCCCTTCCCCCAGGCCCGGCTTTCAGCCTGCAGCAGGAAGCCAGCGGGTTGCAGCCGTCGCCCTGGTAGGCGGGGCTGCGGAGGGGCTGGGGCCCAGACAGCCGCGTCTGTCTGGCTGTGGTCTCAGGTTTCCCTCTCATCTCTGCAGGGAGCGGGTGCAGCTGCAGCAGCTCCCGAGGCTCCAGCCTCGGGGCTCTCAGCTCATTTCCCAGAGGCAGACATTGGGTGTCCAGGAAAGGGGACAATGAAGGTCATCCTGGCCGTTGGCAGCGCTATGCTCTGCAACCCACGCCTGCCCTGCCGGAGATCCACGCCAGCTGCTGCCCTGCCAAAAAGTCTGGCGCCCAGGCCAGGGGTCCAAGTGGATGGAAGAGGCCAGCAGGTACCGATCAGGGCCACTCTGGGCCGGGCTCCTGTTCCCTCCACCACACAGAGCCTTCCTGACGTGGAAGTAACCAGGTCACGGCCCCCAGGCAGGCTGGGGTGGGGTCAGGGACAAAGGGGACTTCACAGTGCTGGTCCTCTTGTAAAAGGACGAGTAGATGATGCAACTTTAATGCCACTGACTGGGGAGAGGGAGACAAGGGCTTCTTTATTCTTGGAGTCCTTTTCTCAACATTTCCAAATGAAATAGAGCCTTAAATAAATGAACTCATCTGGACCCCTCGCCTTGTGGCCTTCACCAGACAGCCACGCGCAGGCCGGGTCCAGAGCTGATCTAGCCCCAGCTCCCACCTGGCCCACTGCCTGGCTCCCCAGCGCTTGGCCACTGTGACCATCACCCCTAGAAACTTGCAGCCCTCCAGAGAGGACGAGGGGAGGATGCAGTGTGGGAGCAAGCGAGACAGAGCCCAGAGCCCAGCGGGGCCTGGGGGTAGAGCTCAGCGCCCCTCTGCAGATGGCCAGGCAGGCCGGGCCTCATCGGTTGGGCCAAGCCAGTGGTGATTCCAGTCTCAGGGACCTGCCCGGCGCAGCCCAGCCTGCTGGCCACAGGGCCCCGCAGCCAAGCGCAACACAAGAGCTGGGTTTTTTGCAGCTCTTTGAGGCCCCATTCTCTGGAAACACCTCACAGCAGGCGCTGCCCGGCCAGGGAAGGAGCCCCACATGCAGGCCACAGCCAGAGCCCCTGCCCTGTCCTCGGAGCTCAGGCTTCAGGACACGTGGGACTCAGCCTCTCGTCCTCCAGTGCAGCGAGGGTAGAGGTGGTGCTGCAACATCAGCTGGGGCCCCGTACGGGAGCAGAGGGTGCATTCTGGGCAGAGAATGGGCGATGCTCAGGGAGAGGCCCTGTGTGCTTCACACGGGCGGTTGAGGCCAGGCGAGGAGCGTCTCGCTGCCCAGAACTCTGCCAGCCACACCCATTTCTTGCAGGCCCCTGAGCAGGGAGAGAGCAGGGCTTAGGCTTCACTGGGTCCAGGGAGCACTGACTGCCGGGTCCCAGGAAAGAACAGCGCTGGGGACCAAGGCAACCGCAGCCGGCCGAGGCCTGGCCTCACCTGTCACATCTGACACTGGGCCCGGGCCCCAGGGACCTGTCTTCAGGGGCCCTGCTCCTGAGGACAGCTCCACTGCACCCCTCAGCACACAGGGGCTGGAGGCATGCCGGCTTCCTAAAGTCAGCACCGGCTTCCTGGCCCCTTGAGGCTGGTGTGAGAAGCTGACTGGGAGCTCAGAGGGCAGTTTGTTTTTAGTGGGCTTTGTGTCTTTAGGTAAACCTGATTCTTACAGCTTCCCTCATCAGGGCCAAGAGAGCACATCCTCTTGCTTTGTGACTGCCCCTCAGATGTGAAAGCAGATCTCTCCTGAAGTCTTTTCTCTCCCAGGCCAAGATTGAATAATCCCTTTGATCATTATATTCATAACAAGATTTTCACTATTGTCTTTGGTTTTCCTGATCTAGCTTCTGCAGAATAACAGTGGAATCCTGTTGCCTTTCAAAAATCTCCGATAATGCAGTTTAAGATTGTTTTAGTTTACTTGACAGCCACATCCTACTGTTAGTTCAGACTAAGCTGTGGTCAGTTGATGCCTTTTGGTCTATTCAAAATAAATGACTGTTTACCTTTACCACATACCTGTGCATTTGAGTCTTAAAACTGTTATATCAAGGGCTGGGGATTTAGCTCAGTGGTTCTGGCACCTGCCTCGCCAGCACAAGGTCCCGAGTTTGATCCCCCAGTACTAAAACTGTTATATCAGAACTTAACATTTATACCAAATACTGTATATTTTCTTTGAATTCTGACCTGCCATTCAAATCTGTCAAACTCTTGTAAATTCTTGATTTTTTTCTTCTAATGAATTGATTTTCCTATCAGCTGTAAATTTTAATAGGTTGCCCATATTTTTCTAAGTGGTATAGTATTATGAAAAAAGATGTACTTTCCAGTGAGTCATATCTGGATTTTAATCCTAGCTTTGTCATGTACTTGCTGTTTGATACTGGGCAAGTTATTTAAACTCCTCGACTCCTGTTCACGCATCTGAAAATGAGGATGACAATTTCTGTCTCCTAAATTTGTTTATGAGAATCTGCAATAATATCAGACCAATAGAGTGGCTATCATACGTTAGGTAATGCTGATGGTAATAATAGTAATACATTTTTTGACAGTGGCTCAGAATTAGTTTTCTTTTCTTTCTTCTTAATTAGGTCAGAGGTGATATTTTGGATAGGGCCAAGAATAGAATTATGTGGCTACTAGATACTATTCTCCAAGTGGACATTCATTAAATTAGACAGATATTATGAAGTAGTATTTATTGAGCACCACAATGTTTTAGTACTCTTTGAGTAACTAGGGACATAGAGGTCGAGCTGACCTGCAAAAGGGCAGGACTACCGCATAATGTAGGAACAGCGGTT